ATCTGGAAGTATTTGGTTTCTTCTACAGTCCTACAAGCATAGTTTCAGAATATTATGGGCACATAATTTTAAGACCTTTCACTGAATATATAATCTTGTAGTATAGTATTCACACTAGGATGTCTTGGGAGAACTTTAGACAGATTAATTCATTCTTGGTCAGTTGGTGCAAATTTGTGTATCAATTTATAACTGGAAGTTGTCTAAGCTAGCTTCTTTGTGAAGATTATTTAATTACTAATAAAATGAATGCAAATCTATTTTGTTCCTGTATGAAATATTTCAGAGTTCTGATGAGGAGAACGAAGACATAAAGAAGGACAAGCCACGACTGAGAGTACACAGCAGTAGCAACAGGAAGCAACTATCAGTGCAGGAGGTGAACAGAGAAGAAGATGGCAATGACAACAGAGAGAGGAAAATATCTGAGTACGCCAGCGGCAATGAATCTGATGTATTTCTCAAGGGTAACTACAGGAAGGTGACACGCCTATCTTCTGAGCAAATTGTAAGTGACAAGGTTTACCATTTGAAAAACAACATAAATATCTTTGACAAGAATTTCCAATAACAACATTTATTATCAAGCCTTCTGATTATCAGGATTCCTTTGTTGCAGAGTTTTGACAATTTCTTGAAATAGAACAACCCTGGGGGGGGGGGGACTTCCACATAAAAAGGACCGGGGTGCTTGCCACAAATTTTGAAAAGAACTCCTAAGAGGCACCAAGATCCTATTTTGTGGGCGTGGCTTGAACTGTACCAATTCTGAAACAACACATTAGCTCCTGTCAGATGTTTTTGGCTTAGTACCCTAAGAGGTATCACAACAGCTCCTGCTGTGGACCTTCTTAGTTGAACACCTAGGAGGTACCAAAACTGCCTTTTTAACCCCTAAAAAGTACAACAAGTACTCCAGCCCTTTTTTTATGGAGTCCCCATCCCAACCCCCCTACACCTCACCAGGACGACAACATTATTTGACTTTTATTTTATGTATGAATGCATACAACAAAAACAAAGTTTCTCAAAACCTCAAGGGGAGTGCAAATTGGTTTGAAAAATAGGGCATTTGTGATATCATGGGTAATAAGGAATCTAAGAGAGTCTCTTTTGGGTTGGAATTATCATAGGCAATTAATATTCCATGTAGTCTTATATTTTTTTATCACTTTTTTTCACAGGCAAGCTTGAAACTTAAGGAAGGTGCAAACAGCGTGACATTCTCCGTCACTACAAAATATCAGGTACAGAGGGCACTTCATAGAGACAGTACTTATTAAGAAATGGGGAGGTGAATGGGTGATATTTGAAAGAATTTTGCCCTTGTGCATGAAAATATCAGTTGTACCAGTNGAGTAGTCTGTGGTTCAAATTCTCCACCCTACCGCTATCTGGATTTGTTCTCGGTAGCGCCAAGTTCAACTGCTCTAGCCTTCCACCAGTTAGGATTCTTAATGGTTTATGTTCTATTTGCAATATTTGTATAATTATTTACAGTGTCCCAATTAGCAAAACAGTGCTAAATACATTTGACACTTGAATAAAGTTGTTCAGTATTATTTATTTTGATTGGAAACCCTGACTAATTACTTAATAACATGTGATGGTTTCCTGAATGTTGCTCTATGCGTTGCATGTAAAGACTATACAGAGCTCAATTTTTGATCAAAACCTGTAAGTTTTGACCAAATTACTGGAGTACAAATGGTAATCTTTGTGTGTTTCCACTGTTTCAGGTCAGATGTATTGGGACAGATTCTGCCAGTAGTAGGACAGGCTTGGGCTCAATCAGGAGTGGTATGTCATGACAAACATCTAGTTTCTCCTAACAATGTGTATACATTTCCAAGTAGGCAGGTATTGAGAATACAGAGAATCATCAATTTAGGGATGTCGTGTTGCTGTACTAACATATTCTGAGAACTAACATTACAAGAAATGTAAAGCATGACAGATCGTCACAGTTAAGTTCACAACTTAAGCAGTTGTGAAAATAAGCTTGTTGCAATTTAAGATCTTGGGGAAGATTTAGAAGGATTGCAAACAACGAACTTGACTCAATGACGGTTCGCCTTTGAGGAGGTACGTCACGGTTTGCTGATCTTGAAAAGTTTATCTTAAATTTTTTTCAAGTTCGTTGTTTGCAATCCGTGTTAATCTTCTCCATCCTTAATCATCCTTGTTTCTTTATGGTTTATTATTATCTATTTAGTGTTTTTCTAGCTTAGCAAACTACTATTTTCAGATTTCCCTCAATTCAAAGGTGATTTTGTACATTGCCAAAAAAAACCGTGATTGAACTAAATTAAAGTGACTTTCGTCTTGTTGTTATTTCAGGCTCATTTCTTTTGTGCCATCCGGAAAAATGGTTACAAAGTTCTTTATTTATCGGCTCGAGCTATTGGGCAGGTAGGGCTGACGTTATCATTCGTTAAATAATCTCATACAGGCAATTCCCCTTTTAACGCTCGAACTTAGGGGAAGAGGCCGGAGGAAGGAGTGCCCCCCCATCCCCGCCCCCTTGTTGCTGGAAAAAACGAAGACCTTTTCTCCAACTGCCAACTCAACACGGGAGGGAATACTTTTGCATTTTTGGACACTGTCGTTTCATTGTAGTTCAGAATCACTTCAGTCATTAAAACTTTCAATTTGTGATACAGCACTCTTTCCCTTTGTGTTGGTGACGATCATTTTAAATAGCGATATCTGAACAGCATGTGTTGGCCAGTTTGTTAACACTGCCTATTACGAACTTGACTCCAATTGGGCAGTAACACCACCATGTTAATAGCTCTCCCTTGAAACTAAAACTATCTTTTCGTATCTGAGGAAACGATGCAAAAATGATAATTTAAAGGGATAAGAGTAGCTAAGATTGAAAGAGACGGATTAGGGTAGACAAACCTGCAAAACTAAACTTTTTTCAAGATTTTCTGATATTCTGTGACGTAAGTCAACTTTGCTAACTTTGTAAATCCAAAATGGCGTCATGTTTTCAATTCAGGCGTGGTGTGATCCCCGTTCTCAAAACGGACGTTTCACTCTGAAAACGTATCAAATGTTTTCCGTCCACACTACGCCGGAGAACTTTGAAAACGCAACAATCACCGGTCATTTTAGATTTGTGTTCGGAAAAAAAGACTGGGGCAGGGATATCACCTTACCATCGTAAGGTCATCGGTTTCAAAATGTTTTCCGTCATACTAAAACGAAAAGCCGGCGTTTTCAAATCCCTTCGGTTTGAAGAGCGTGTTACTGAAAAAGCTCCGTTCGTGACGGATTAGTGTGGACGGTAGGCCTAACCGGAGAAATAAAGCTGCGTTTTCAAATTTCTCCGGCGTAGTGTTGACGGCGTCTGAGTTAACAGGTCCTTGTTCTGGGTTTCTTTTTCTCACAGGCCCAGCAGACTCGAGACTACCTGAAGAGCGTAAAACAGGATCAGTTGATGTTACCGGACGGACCATTGCTTCTCTCGCCCGAGTCACTCATCAAAGCCTTTCACAGGTAAAACAACGACAACATTTGACGAAGATGTAAAACATTGGGAATGCGACGTTTTGAAAAAGTCGTTCCATGTAAAACGCTCGGAGTTTTCTGATAAACCATCATTGCTTTACGCTGCTGCTTGTGTTGATCAGAGTGGGCAGCCCACGTATTTCTAACCAAAAATTTAATTGACTTTCGTGAAATAACCGAAACGATTTCATTTTGAGGTGAAAGTGAGACCTTTTGTTTCATTACTGCTCTACAGAGAAGTGATTGAGAAGAAGCCAGAGGAGTTCAAGATCGCCTGTCTACGAGATATCCAGAGCTTGTTCCCGGCTTCAAATAGAAATCCTTTTTATGCTGGATTTGGGAATAAAGTCAATGTGAGTTTACTTTCAATAGA